ATTAAAAATAAATACAGAAAAAAACTTGAGCAAAAACATAGAATTTAATATTCTTTTTTTTTTTTAAACTTTATTTATTTATTTATTATAAGTACACTGTAGCTGTCTTCAGACACCCCACAAGAGGGCATCAGATCTCATTGCAGATGGTTGTGAGCCACCATGTGGTTGCTGGGATTTGAACTCATGACCTCTGGAAGAGCAGTCAGTGCTCTTAACCACTGAGCCATCTCACCAGCCCAGAATTTAATATTCTTAAAAAAAAAAAAGTGCCAGCTTGAAGCTATGGCTCAGTGATAAAGTATTTGCTTAGACTGTGTGATGGTCTAGGTTCAATCCTTAGTACTTTCCTACACACACACACACACACACACATATACACACATACACACAAACTTTTTAAGTGTCACCTTTAATGATATCATTAATCTGAGTCTCATAAAAGCTAGGAAAAAATGGCAAGGAGATTAAGAAATAACTATAGGTGAGCAGTGGTGGTGAATGTATGCACTTAATCCTAGCACTCGGGAGGCAGAGGCAGGCGAATCTCTGTGAGTTTGAAGCCAGGTGGATCTACAGAACAAGTTTCAGGACAGCTCAAGGCTACATAGCGAAACTCTGTCTCAGAAAAACCAAACCAAACTAAACCAAACCAAACCAAACCAAACCAAACCAAACCAAAAACTCTATAATTAGAATAGAGTCATAGAATCATTTCTTCCCTTTTTGCATTGCTAGGGATCAAACTCAGGGTCTTTAGGCAAGTTAGTCAAATGATTTTCATTGATCGTACCCTAGAATTACTTTATAAATGTAAACTTTTTCTTTTTCTTTTTTTTCTTTATTTTTTGTCAGTCTCAATACTCCCTTATGGTCTATTTTAATTGCCATCAAATCAAAATTGATATTCAATAATTCATATCCTCCAAATTATGGTTACATTTTTTTCTAGCTTTATTCTTCATATTTGGATTTTTAAATTTTTGACATAAGCTTATCAACACAAAATAATGAAGTTTCAAAATTATTAAAAAAATAAAACAGAACACAAGCTATTCATACAATTGGTGTGAAGACACTTCTGTTAAAAACTGAGATGCCGCACTCTCAGAGTATCCCAGGTCTCTGGCTCATAGACTTGTTTAGTGACTCCTGTTATAGAGTGTCTAACTAAGCTACAAACTTCCAAAGCAGTAGTTGCTACAATGCAGTCTATAGGACTTGCATATTTGCTAAGCACATTGCAGAACTCTTTGGTTTTTTTGTTTGGTTTTTTTTTGTTTTTTTGTGGGTTTTTTTTTTTTTTTTTTTTGAGACAGGGTTTCTCCTATATAGCCCGGACTGTCCTGGAACTCACCCTGTAGACCAGGCTGGCCTCAAACTCAGAAATCTGCCTGCCTCTGCCTCCCAAGTGCTGGGATTAAAGGCAAGGCGTGTGCCACCACCGCCCGGCCACATTGCAGAACTCTTAAAGTTTATTTGTATTTGGTTTTCTAGTACCTAGCAAAGTAGTCCACTCTATGAAAATTTGTTTACAGAGATTTTGTCGATTGAGTAATATTTAGATAGAAACCAGTTTGATGAAAAATTTTAAGGCAAGACTGTTTGGTGGTTTGCAGAAGCATTTGTAAACCCCACTATTGAGTTTCATGTTTTGAAGCATGACAGCTGTAACGAAATTAATTAATGCATAGTTATTAGTGTACAATTCTAGGGCCTGAGAGGTTTTGTTTTTGCTCTTTTTTGACCCCAGGAATTGGACTCAAAACAGTGTTCATGATGAACACTGGTACTCTACCAGTGAGCTACACTCTTAGCCACCTGAGACTTTTGCTTTTCTGGTGCAGCATTAGTTAATTCTCTTGTATTGACAAAACACCTGGGGATGGGGTGGGGGAAGCAGTTTAAAGAAGAGTTTATTTTGGTTCATAGTTCAAAGGTACAGTCCAGTATGGAGGGGGAAGCTATGGAGCGTGAGATGTCTGGTCACCTTATGTTTGTAGTCAGGAAAGCAGAGGGAGATGAGTGCTGGTGTTGAAATTGCTTTCTTGCTTTTCTGCACACACTGCCAGCATATGCACTCAGACTGAGGGATGGGAGATGCTTTGCCATTCCCATGAGGCTGAGGCTAGCGTCCTTGACATGGTCATTCCCAGGTGAACTGCACACATTCACTCAGAGTTCCTCTGTGCCCTACAATCCCACCTGGATTAGGGTGTGTCTTCCCCCTTTCCACTAACAAAATCTAGATAATCCCTCATAGACCAAAGAGCTTGTCTCTTTGGTGATTCTAGCTAGAACCGTGTCAAGTTGACAAAGGATATTAGCCATCACAAGTGGAGGGGGGGTGGACTCAACACTTCCTTCATGTCCCAGGAGGATTTTTAAAGACAGGGGAGGAAAGAATGTCAACCGTCTCCTTTCTTTGAACTTCACACTGATTCATATTGTGGTGTTGGGGCTAGGGATGTGGTTCTGGAGCATCGTGCTTGCCCTGCTAGGGTACAACAAACAAACAAAATGTTCTGTGATGTTGCTCTGGTAACCACATGCTACAAATGACCCACGTAGATAATTTCCTGTTGAGATCAGGGGAACATTACAAAGTGGCACCTAAATGTGGGTAGATTAGCACACACATGGAAGAACAGGAAAAGGAGAGGGTTATTCAGTGTGTTGTTGTTTATTTCATGCTAGAGCAAATGGGAAAAAACTATTGTTAAGTGCATTATGTCTTATATGAAGACTACTGGATATAAAACTGAATCTTACTATCCTTGAATACTCTGTAAGATTATTTGTTCCTTCATGTATCCAAGGCATCTGCACACCTGATCTATTTCCCCTTTATTTTCCCAAATCTTTTTATTATTTCAAGACAGGGTTTCTTTGTGTAGTCCTGGTTGTCCTGGAACTCTCTCTGTAGACCAGGCTGGCCTCAAACTCACAGAGAAACACCTGCCTCTGCCTCCTGAGTACTGGGACTAATGGTGTGCACCGTCCCTGCCTATTTTCCCAAATCTTACTGTATTAGTAGTTATCGTCACACAATCAATCATTGTTGAAGATAATGGTAAACATTTATTTTTGATGCTGCAGATTAAACTTTAAACATTATATCATATTGTTTTGTTGGGCTGAATTTGGGGAGTGGCTTAGCTAGCTGATTCTGGCTTGGCTTATTTTACAAGGTGATTGTCAAGATGCCAGTTAGAAGCTGTAATTGCACATGACCAAGGATGAGGCAGGAAGATCAAAAAAATGAGGCTATTCAGGGCTTCATGGGGGCTACATCCTATCTTTTAAAGAAAACGATGAAGATCCCACAATGAAACCCATTTGTATGTTAACCAATTTGTTTAAAAAATTTACCTGGTTTTATAGCACATGTCTGTATTAAATAATGGAGAAAAAGCATTTTTCAACTTTCATCAATAGAAACAAAATAATCTGGCAACTTCTTTATGTTTGAATAGAACAAGATGATTTCATCATCAGTTGCCTTTTTTTTCTGGTTTTTATCCAAGAGCCTGGACATGACAGGCAGTAAAGATGTCTCCTGCTCGTAAAAGAACATAAAGAGGTTGGTACTTCCTCAACAGTAAGAACATTTCTGTCACCTAAGAAAATAATTGAAAGTAAAAGTAAAGCTTTACAATTCATCCCATCGCATCCTAGATGTCAGTGGCAAACTTGTGGCAGTCATTGTAACTGTTAAGGAAAAAAAAAACATTGGGCATACAATATTTAAACGGGTCCGCGGTTTGGCGGTTTGGTTTTGACATCAGTTTTGTGGTCTTGGTAAAGTTAACTCTTATATTTTAATGTCTATATAATGGGCAGTGAAGAAAGGAGGGGGGGGTTATTCTTAGCTTTTTTTGTTTTGTTTTTCACCGAAGAGCTTGGCACTTTCAACATGAAATATGTCTCACACACAGCCTCAATGTTCCCACCCTTCATAGTCTTTTTTGTGCCTTGAGCCACTCCTGCAAACTCCCAGCTTAGAGTCCCAGACTGGTCCACACGAAAGTTGTTCATTGTCTTTATCAAAAAGCCAATGACATCTTTTTTCGTAGGCTGTGAAGGAGCACTCCCTTGCCAGGCTGACATCTTTGTAACTCCTTTCTTTTCTGCCCACACCTTCGGGTTCCCCCGGCCTTAGCCAGCAGCTTAGGCTAAGGTTCTGGGGACAGCGCCCATTTCCCAGATTCTGGCTGCAGGCGAATAGACCTTAAGCAGTGACCCGGCCTCACGATTCTCAACGCGACTGCCTCAGTGACAAAGCATTACCAATTTTCTTCCAAAGGGCCCAACTCTGTGGCCATAAGCACGCTGAGCTAGGGGAACACCTACTGAAGTCGGCTCTCAGAAGCACTGTGCCTTAAGTCTCTCCTCAGGACAGGCCGGCCGTTGCAGCGGAGGCTGGAACTACAAGTCCCAGAATCCCCGTGCACACGCGCACTGTCATTGTGATGCTCCTTTCCCGGTAACTCGCCCTCTCAGGCAAACCTGAAGATAGCGGCAATTCTCCGGTGGGGGGCGGAGACGCTCTCGGCCCAATTCTCCGCCCCCTTCCTGATAGGCAATGGGACTAGCCAACCGACGCTACGGGCTGGGAACGTGCTCTCCAATCAGCACACGCGGCGGAGAGGTGGGCGGTGCGCGCTGGCAGGGCAGGTGGGCTAGGCTGTGCGGCTTGCGGGGGGAGAGTAACGTCGGGCCGGGTCAGCGGGCGCTGCAGTAGTCGCCGCAGCGGCGATGGGAGCGGTGGGGACGAGGCGGCGGCGGCGGCAGGAGGAGGAGGAGGAGCAGGGGCTGGCACGAGAGCAGCGGCCCGGGTCAATCCGCAGCAATAACCGCAGCCGCCGCCGCCTTTAGACGCGGACGGCATCCGAAGGGACCGCCGGCCGTCTAAGCCGCGCTCGGGTCCCGCCGCAGTGGGCGGCGGGGGATGGGCAGGCGGTGGCGGGCCCGCCTGCTGAGCGGTGACTCCTGCCGGTGCGGACCCTGAGCTGGACCCCAGTCCTCTGCCAGAGATCCTGCGTCCGCCGCGGCCCAGGTAGGACACACCCCCGAGCCCCAGGGCGTCTCCAAGAAGCCTCCCTGCGCCCGCCTCATCCCTCGCTCAGTTCTCCCGAGGCGTGGAAGGGAGACTGCCCGAGACCCCTGGGTTTCTGCCCACGCCCTGAGCCGACGCCAGACCCAAATTGATCCTCATCCCAGAGATCGTTCTGGTTCTGCCCCATTTCCCCGGAGGCTTTGGGTGCCTTCCCTGAACTTGGAGGGTCATGAAGCTGCTTCGTCTGTTTCTGTGGGTGACCCATATATCACTTGTACTCATGACTCTTCTGACTACCAGGACCGATCGGAGAGGAGTCTTTTAAAATTATGAGCGTTTCCTTCTATCTTGCTTTTCCTACTGTAAATGGAAGAGTGACGGGACTACCGAATCTCGTCTGTGTGACTGTGTGGTAACAAGGAAGGCCAGGACTTTGTAGTATTGAAGTAATGATCAGAGGGATTTGCTTTGACAAAGATGATGCTGTTGATACGCTGGGATGCCGTAAGAGGGACAAAAGAGCCCACATATACGCACTGTCGAGTCAGAGAAGTAAATAATTACGGGGATGCTAGGATACCTGATCCTTCAATGAAGTTCATTTTGTTTCAGTTGTGGCGCTGCCTTAGAGGTAAAAATGACATTGAGTTGTACTTTGCTTTGGACTAAAGTTGATAGGCTTCTCTCCCCTAGCTTTGGAAGCTGTCCTTTAACATTTAAATTTAAAGAAGACTATTTTAGCCTGAATATGATGGGAAGATGTTATTTAGTAGAATTGAATGTGTGTGAGAGAGTGTATTATGAATGGACTCAAACTCACAAATACAAGGAGGATTCAGGCTGTGTTTTGTTACAGTGTTCGGTTTTGAGCCATTAATAGTTGCAGAAACATTAAACATGGACTTGCCAGGATAGACTGCAAAGATGTATTTGTTTTCTTTTAGCAAAGTGAACTAGAGTAACATTCATTTAAGGGATTAAAAAAATGAGGATTTTTAAAGTATTGAGTGAGTTGAATACTTTTTACTTTTTGTCTTGCGATTTTAAAGAAACCTCAATGGTGACAGATATAACAGTATGCCATCTTGGAGAATCTATCCTGATAAGGATTATGGTCTATTAAAAATTAAAACAGAATGAAAGATATCTTTAATGCACAAGCTTATATGTCCTGTATGATGAATTTTTATAAAGACACCAGAAGGGATTCTTGAAGCATGATTACAAAGGAAGGTTTCTCTAATAGTTTAACTTTATAATGGAGTGTTAGGAACTGATTTTCCTCTTTCAGTTTTGGACACATAAAAGATATTAAGGTTCATAAATTGATTCATTTTATTTATAATTTCAATTTGAAACAATTTAATTATGAGTAGGGAGCTGATGTAGAGATTGTATCTTGTTCACCATCATCTTGTATATGGTTTGTGTATCATTGAATTCCATGTTGTATACAACTTCAGGGTTTTTTGTTAGGTACTGTCTTTTTTTAATACCCCAGGAAGCTGAGCAAATTGAACTCAATTATGTAGGACTTCATATATCCTTAAATGTCATGTAAGAAATGAAGTTTGTATAATTTAGAAAACACTAGTGAGCAATTCACACATAAACATGCTTTCAAATGTGACAGTCACAGGTTGTGGAAAAGTTTTTAGATTTATTTATTTTTATTTTATGTGTACCATTGTTTTACCTGAATGTGTGTACAGTGATAAATTATTGGTTTTTCAAAGCATGTATTACACAGCTTAGCTAGTTCTGATAATGGAATTTAAGTTTCATTTTGTTGGCAAGCAGGAAGTTTTTTGTAATGCTATACAACTTTTACAAGTAATACCTATGGATGATCTTGCTTTGTTCTTTAGAGGCAGAATTACTATGTAGTTCAGGCAGGTCCTGAAGCCCCAGTAATCCTTCTCACTCAGCCACCCAAGTGCTGGAATTACAGGTGTTAACTACCATTTTAATGCTGTGCTGGGGATCAAACCCAGGGCTTCATGCATTCTAGGCAAACACTCTACCAATGGAGCTGTATCCCCAGCTTTTCATTTTATTTTGAAAAAGGATCTTCTTGGATTTCCCAAGCTGGCCTGGGTCTTGTGATCTGCCTGTGTTTGTCACTGGAGTAACTAGGATTGCAAGCATGCACCACCACACCCAGCTCATTGATCTTTTTTTTAATGTGTATATTTGTTTTGCCTGGATATATGTAATTGCATTGTGTGACTGCTGCCTAGTGCCTAAGGAGGCCAGAAAAGGTTCTAGATCCCCTGGAACTTGAGTTACTGATGATTGTAAGCTGCCATGTGAGTGCTGGGAATTGAGACTGCGCCCTTTGAAAGAGTAGACAGTGCTCTTAGCCACTCACCCATCTCTCTAGCCTTCAGCTAACCTTTTATACTTTCTTTCTTTTTTCTGTTTTTTTTTTTACTTTGTTCCACTTTAAAATAATTGTACCTTAAAAGGTAAGGTTGAGTTATTTTATCTAAGTCATGTGACTTGTTAATATTTGTTTGCAGCTTTCTGCATTGCATACATTATATTTTACGGAGTATGTTTGTACAGTTCATTTGTTTCTTTTCTTTTTTCTTTTTGGTCCACTAAGTATCTCAGCTTATATAGTATCTAAAAATGGTTTTTATTAACATTTCCCAGTAACTAGTAAGCCAGAGATAAGGGAAGAAAAATAGGAAAAAGAAAAACTAAAGAGAAAAGTGTGAGCTCTACTGATAATGACATTTGATTCACAATCACTTAGATGCTAATTACAGGGTAAGCTGGATCAGGATGCCCTTTCTGTTGGACTTTGATAGCATTTAATAAGTTCAACATATTCAGGGCTGGTTAGCTGGAGAGATGGCTCAGTGTTTAAGAGCACTTACTCTCCTTGCAGAGGATCTGAGTTTAATTTTCAGAAGCCACATGGTAGTTCACAATCATCAATAGCTTCAGTTCTAGGGGATCCAGTGCTGCCTTCTGACCTTCGGGGCACCAGACTCACATCTCATATGTGCACAGACATACATACAGGCAAAACAATCATATATATTTGTGTATGTGTATTATTCAAAGCAATTTCTTTGAATCTTTGAACTGTAAGTTATTGTAACAAGTGCTTACATCCATTTTTTAAATACTTGCTAAATATTTTCCATGTTATACTACTGTGGGTTAAAGATTGAGCAGTAGACAAAAGAGAAATATCTCTTTACTTTTGAGCTTACAATATACTTTTGAGCAAACGTGTAGAAACAGATAATTATACAAGTTTCATGTATTATGAAGAGAAAGTGTAGCTATGAACTTGTAACAAATGTTTGGAGATAAAGCTCAAGAGAAGTTTGTTTTATTAACCCTAACTCATTCTGTGTTTGTATTAGCTTCAGAGGTCAGTGGAAATAGTTTCACTCTAATTAAATAATTAAAAATAAATGTACTTAAATTAAAAAGGTAATAAAAAATAATGTGCATATAACCCTTGTGTGTTATTAAGATACTGTACATCTGTGACAAACAGGAGAAAAACAAAGAAGGAAACGTTTTGTTTCATAGTATTGAGGTTTTTACCCACTGTGGCAGGGAAGGCATGATGGATCAGCTCACTTCATGGTATTGAGGAGGCACAGAAAATGCCTATGTTAGTGTCTCATGCCCTCACAGATATACCCAGAGGTGTACTTTACTAACCTCCTGAGCACTTCTCAGTTCAATCACGTTAGCAATCAGGATTAATCCTCAAAAGTCCACCTCTTGTTAATTTGCACCCACACATATTTCTTTAAACATTTGGACTGGGGAGATGGCTCAGTGGAGAAAAGTACTTTCTCCACTTTCTCACAAGTGTGAGAACCAGAATTCAAATCCCCAGAACCCATGTGAAGCCAGAGGTGGAAGCATACATCTGTACTGTGTACTGTGCTAAGATGGTAGGTTGAGATGAAAATCCTCAGAAGCTCTCATCTGGTATGTTTGAGGGAGAACAGCAAAAATCAGTCCCTGTTTCAAACCTTCACATGCATGTCACAGCATGGGAGCCTACACATACATACACTCAACTCACCAGAGAGAGAGGGAGAGAGGGAAGAAGGGTGAGAGGGAGGGAGGGAGGGAGGGAAGGAAGGAGGGAAGGAAGGAGAGAAGAGGAGAAGAGAAGAGAGGAGAGGCAGAGAGAGACAGAGAGACATATTACAATAAAACATCTTACTATCCCATCCCTGGCCTTCCAAAGGCTCATGTCCATCGTGTCCATGACCATACAACTATACATTCTACCTCCACAGTTTTCAGTCTTTACCATTCTAACACTGTTCAAAAGTCCAAGTTCAGAGTATCTGAGATTGAAGCAAACTCAGCTGTGAGTCCGTGTAAAATCAAAAGGAAAATTATGTACTTAAGTATAATGGCACTGGGTAAACACGTTCATTACCAAAGGAAGAAATAGAAAATAGCAAGGTGGGGTAGGACCAAAGCAAGACAAACAACCCAACAGGGGAAGCAAGTCCCATAGATACATGGTGGACATAGTAATGTAATGTGTTCTCCAGATCAGCACTTCCCCTGAGGCCTTGCTGGTTTTAGCTCACATAGCCTTTTTCTTTGGTTGACTTTACTTGGTAGCCGCCTCTGTCTTTTTGATTTACACTTTCCAAGTTCCTGACCCATCCAACTTTTCAGGAGGTCTCCATTTTATCTTTGACTTCATTCTTATGGTTGTGCACATTGCTCTTGTGCTTCTATACGGGGTTGTCTGCAGGGATACTAACCTTGCTTTAAATTGGAATACAAGCCTCTACCACTCTACAGCCCTTTTATTCTATGTGCTTACAAAATCTGCATCATATGGACGATACCAAGGTCTGATACCAGTTTGATTGATAGTTATATCTGCATGGACCATGGCTGCAATGGTCTCTTAAGTGGCCTGTGCTAGATATTTCATTACCATGACAGAATAATTGACAGAAACAACTTAAAGGAGGAATGACTTATTTTGCCCC